CACCTCCTGACCCAAGAATCTGCAAGGATTTAGAAAACTTACAGAGCAAACTCTCCATCAGTGGGTTTAGCAGAAGGGCTCTCAGGTGAAGGAGAGAGTAGAAAAAGGACAGACTAATCAAAGGCCACTCACAGTGGACAGAAATCACTCCACTGATTCTTGGTTCTGACCCTGAGTCTTCTTGCTTTCCTGTTACTGATTATTTTAGTAAAAGACACTCATTGTGGAAGTGGAGAGCTACACAAAGAAATAGAAATGAGAAATGCTAACATTTTAGCTATTTTCTCCCAGTTTTCTGAGTGAGTTTTTTCTTTAGAGTTAAGTAGATTTAACAGTACCTCCTAAACATTTCCTGAAGTTATAAAAATCTTTCTATTCATTTCTGCAGTCTGTTTTAAAGGAGAAAATTAGATTGGGTAAGCACTTACCACTCTTGTCTGAGGGGAAATTGATCCTCCTTTATCAGTGAAAGCAGAGGGCCCAGGAGAAGTGTGTTTTCTCTGCTGCCCTCAGACTTGCTAAGCACTTGCCCTGAGTTCAGCTGTAAATCTGCTGCCCAGTCCAGCTTGGCCTCCCATCTTTATCAGGTGTTGGACTCTGGTTTTACTAGCTCTGGAAGGCCATAAAGCAATGAGTCTGTCAGCTCACACTTGCTCCTCAGGGTTCCGTATTTGTAAACATTACCCTCCCCCTTTGGCCTTTTTCTGTCTGGGAAGGCTGGAAGGACCCCTTACTCCCAGGGAGCTCAGCTCTGGCCAGCCCTGGTGTGCCTTCTCTTCCTTCTGGGGCAGGTCTTGGCTTCTGGGGAGTTTATAGACCCTAAGGAAAAGGGTGGAATGATTAAAGCACAGATTCTCGGTCTGGGGCCTGGGACCTGGGGCTTCCCTAGGGGAGGAGGAGGGGAGGGCCTCACAAACCAACTGGATGGGAGAGCTATGTGCTTTTTGTTAAAACTGCAAAGACTTCTGATCATCGCCTCTATCACCTGTGTGTTATGTGAGCACGGACAAACACCCTTTGTTGAGCACGCACCTAGCCAGGTACTTTGCGGAGAATTATGCATGAATTATTTAATTTAACACTCACAGGCTCCATGAGGTAGATGTGTCACTATTCTCACTGCAATATAGGGGGCTTTGAGTGTTAACTCAGTTGTTCAAAGTCACATAGCTGGTGAGTCTGGAATTGGACTTGAGTCTTCATCTCTCTCACTCTCAAGTCTGTTGATACTTTTTTAACCGTTGTCCTAAACCACCCCACCCTGAGAGCAGAGCATCCTGGAGCTGGAGAGGGCTTCAGTGTCTCCCAGCCCTGGCTGGGTGTTAGAATCACCCATCTGCAGGCCAATAAATCTCTGGGTGAGGCTTGGCCTTGGGATATAACATTGTAAATTCTCCAAGTGATTCTGAGGGGCAGCCTGTGTGAGAACCAGTGGAATCCAACACATTTATTTAAAAATGATGAAACTGAAGCCCAGAGAGAGGCCTGCCAATTTTAAGCCTACACTGAGTAGCAGACCTAGAACCAAGTCAAGTTCATACACAGACCTCTGTGTGGCCGCAAGTGCTACGGGGATGTGTGGAGTAAACGCTCTTAGACAGCGGCAATTCCAGACAGGAAACCAGACGCACACATAACCCCTTCCCCCTCAAACCACAAGGTGTGCATTTCTCTATACTCAGCCCCCTCAAATGCCAGTTTGAACACTGGGACATTTAGTTTGTCTCTCTAGCAG